TTATTTCAAAAATTAAGTTAGTAAAGTGTGATGTCATCACGGTACCATATTCCTCTCTGCATGTCCAAAATGGACAAATGCTTAAGTGATTCACTGTAACTCTCCTCAAGCCTCACTATATATGTAGCTGCTCTTTCTCTAGTCTAATCTCACTCAAATTCAGAAAATCTCTCTTTAATTTTCTTCTTATCTCTCTCCTCAGCCCTCATTATATCTCTCTTTTCTTTTCTTCATCTCAGATTTTCTCTTAAAAAACAAATAAATTTTCGTTCACAAATGGAGAAATCTAATCTTGATCGAATAATGGATGTTTTGTTCTCTGATGATCTTGGTTCAGAAGAAAAATATGAGGTAATCAAATCAAATTAAGCCTAGCTACCTTTCTTTTTCTCATTTTATTTTATATATGTTTTAATCTAAAGAAAAATATAAGTTTTCAAATATAATTATGCATGAAGCTAGAGATCATTTCTTTGTGAATAAATATAAGTCATGAGGAGATCATTTCATGCTGAAAAAAAAGGGGGGGATCATTCCATTCCAAAAAGATCTTTCATATTTAATACGAAATGTTTTCTTTTATAAATAAATATATATATGTCATTAGTAGATATGAGTTAATTATATGATATAAATTCATGTTTAGTTCATTTATCTACTAGTTTTGAATATGTGTTTTTGTCTAATTATATGTAGATCTAGTGAAAATAAAGAAAATCTGTTGTTATGCAATTTTAACTATACAAGGAAAACGATTTTTAGGTCGAAACCAAGGCCGAATTAAAATTTTTGCACTACTTCTTTTGATCATATCAAGTGCCTATCCTTGAATTGTGTATCTGATCAACAGTAAAAAGATGTTCAGCTTGTATTTGTGTCCTTTAATTTTTTCGGCTTGAAAATCAGCCTCCATTCTATAATGGTTCATTATGTTTTCTAATGATGTTTCGGATATGAGAATTTTGATATTTTAGCCAAATATTTGACATTTTAGTATCATCCTTTAAAGTTTATAATTTTGTATTCTAAATTTGTACTTTAGCATGTTCATGCTTTTTTTTTGTGTGTTCATCTAACAATATTAATTAGAAATTTCACAAAATTACCCCACCAATAAATGTATAATAAACAGTATACATGTTCATGAAGGACTATAATTGGTGCACACCCGAATTCAACACCAGGGTGTGCACCCTCCACATAAAAAAAAAAAAAAAATGAACCGGGTGTTCTCCATTTTTTTTTTTTATGCGGAGTGTGCACACCCGAGTGTTAAATCTGAGTGTGCACATATCATTTTCTGTTCATGAATGCCTTACTGAAAATGTTAAAATAACTGTTTTAACGATATAACTATATACTTATATTTGAATATATTTATAACGGTTTTAACAATATAATTGTGTACTTAGATTCGAATATATACTTATAATTAATCTAGTGAGATATTTCCAATTAATTTTGTATTTTACTTCTACTATATATCTCACTTTCATTTGTAGAAAATGATATTATATGTCCTTATTCGAATCTAAGTACTAAATGCTTTTGAAATTGTTATCTCACTAACAAGATCGGTATTTGCAAGCACATGCAATACCTTTAAAATATATGTTATATTTGATCAATTACTAATAATCTTAATGAAGTGGAAGTCTTACTAAAACTATTTATCTAAATGTTAGCTTGAATTGATTTAGTACTTTCCCTCTTTAGTTTCTTAATTCCATATGCTTTTGGAAATATTGCTAAAGTTAAGAATACTATAAATAATTACTCAGTATCCTCTTTGTTAATGTAGGGAGAAATGTCACTCCACAAACCTGCTCAAGAAGAAGGAACTAATTGCTTGGGCTTCAATTTCGCACCAATTGCACAAGTCAATGATTTTGAAATGTCTTTGGAAAACATTACTAGAATTAGGAACTACGAGGTTAGTTTTTCAGTAAACCTGTTTCATAATCAACATTAAATATTTTTTTTTTTTTTCTCAATCTCATCTCTCACATAGTTTTTTAAATCTATCTTTACAAATTTAATTGTCTAACTATATCTTTCTAAACCATTGAAGGCGATATACCAAGAATGCAAAGCTGCACTAGAAACACCTTCTCCTGCTCCTTCAACACAACAAGACTCTCAGTCTAAAAAATATTCAATCAATGCAACCCAAGTTGCATCTTGTATGCCACAATATGTTGCAAATGCAACTCCAATTCCAGCCATTCCTCTAGTGGAGCAAGGCAACTTAGCTGCAATAGCAAACAATATTGAAATGGATGCAACTCCTAATCTTTTGCTCAAACAAGACTCTGTGACTCTTACAACCACAAAGTTTGCAGTCAGTGCAACTCTTCCCACTTCTTGTAGGCAAGAAGATTTTGTTGCAACTCGAACTCTTGTTATTATTCCTTCAGTCAAACAAGGCAACCCTTCAAGAAAAACAAACGATACTGAAATGAATGCAACTCCTCCGAACCCTTTGCTCCAACAAGACTATGTGACCCCTACAACTACAGAGTGTGCTATCAATGCAACTCTTGCTACTCCTTGTATGCAAGGAGATCTTGCCAAGGCAAAATCTTGTGTAGGTGATGATGCAAATCCAACTACAACTCTTGCCAATTCTCATTTGGTGAAACAAGGCAACCCTTGTGGAATAGCAATCAATACAGAAATTGATGCAACTCCTCCTAATCCTTTGCTCCAACAAGACTCTACGATTACAAACCTTGTGCTTGATGCAGCTCCTCCTTCCATAAAAGACCGTGGGATGAATGAGATTATTGTCATGAGTAATGGAGAAGATGCGACGGTAAGTGCTTACCTTTTTAGGAGTAAATTATAAGTATGTCCCCAATCTTTGTAAATCAAGCAATTGAGTCCTTATATAGCTTTCTTTTTCATATTGATATGCAGGTTGTAAAGCAAGGGATAAAAAAAGCAAATGTGCAGGCTCGTGGTGCTAGAATGAAAAATAGAATAAAACTACCTGCTCCCTGGTTAGATAACTACACAGTTGAAAATAAACCTCGAGCATCATCTAAGCTGATTGATACGGTAAATATCTATCATTTATAAATCTCTATTCATACTATTGTTGAACTTTCTCATTGAGTTAAGTTTAAATAAGTGATATGAGACATTAGAACAATATATATTAAGCTTTTAAATTGCATATATTAAAATTAATGTTTGGTATTGCAGTACTACCACCACAATATATTAAATTTTAGGTGTCGATCTCGTGTTGAAGTTGCTTTATATGAATTACATGGGATAACCCCCAATCATGCAAGAGATGAATCGAATTTGGAATTTCTAGCAGATGCAGCAAATTTTATCAAGGAGGTAAACTAATTAATTAGTTCTTTGTTGTAGATAATTAAACTCATCAAATTTTCCAAATTAGTAATGCTATTAAGATGAATGTTTATCAGTTAGATTTGCAAAAAATTAGGCAAATAAGACACCATAAGAAAATAATAAGACAACCTTATTTCTTCTTTAAAAATTTGGATGTTTTAGTTTTTTTTTAATGAAATTTTATTAAAAGGATATAGTTTTTGGTATTTTTCAACTTAATTTTTTTGTAATATAAATTGATATTTAATTACTTTTCTATAAGGATAATGTGTATCAATCTCGTGTATCAATCTCGACTCTTAAAAAATAATTAGAGTCATGATATTAAACGATATCATTTCATTTAATTAAAATTTAATTCAAAATTCAAAAATTCACCTTATTAAATATTGATTTTTACATTTGGAAATTTATATATGAACATTTAATAAGGTGAATTTTTGAATTTTGAATTAGATTTTTTTTCCAAATTTAGATATTAATATTTAATAAATTGGATTTTTTAAAATTTTAAATTAAATTCTAATTAAATGAAATAACATTGTTTAACGTTGATACTCAATTTTTTTTTTTTTTTGAGTAAGATATACGTTTTCTCCCTTTATATTATATAATTTATGTGAACCATATATTTGTACTTCAACACACAGTTTGAAAAACAAAATAGTGAAAAAAAATCTAGCTCACCTAAGAAGAAGAGAAAGAAGACAGCTAGTGAAAATCAGGAGGGGACGAATTCAGCTCCGACCATGAACTTGGATGAAAAAAATTCAACTGTATTGGAAGGTAAAGTTATCTTGTATGTTGGATTATTTTGTTAAGAAAGAATTTTTTTTTTTTTGTCTAAAACTTTGAGCTCTTATCAAGGATTCATGATTCCACCAGCTCTCTTTAATCTCTTATTATTCTTGCATTTACCAGGAGGTAATGAGGAGGAAGGGATGGAAGCAAAGGTAAACCTGAAAGAAGGAAATGTCAAAAAGCAACAGGAGGGAGAGGGAAGCCAGGAAGGAGGAATAATGGCAAGGCAAACTCCAAACTCAGAATCTGCGTTCAAATTTGATGACAGTGGTTTTGTTGATGTTCCGGTCTTATACTGTGCTGAGGAGATTAAAAATCTGTTATCGAGGTTTGATTAATTCTAACATTATTTAATCATTCAACACAAAGTTTAATTGCTTCTATCATTAGTTGATATGCTTGTAGAGATGATACGTGTTCTTATGTTCATGAATTTTATGTTGAATGCAAATAATATGAGTGGAGTGTTTGTGTGGCAGCAATCAAGGAGCAATGACTAGTGCAGCGAGCCAGCATGAGAAGGTAATGCCAGGATACAAGGAACACATTGGAAATGATTGTCAAACAAGCTGGAAAAGCAGTGAGTTAGATGAACTAAAAGCAACCAAATTAGCCTTGGAAACCATGGAAGCACAGTTTAATGCGACCAAACAAGCATTGACAATCATGGAAGCAAGGCTTGATGGTATAATTGAGATTGAGAGGCAGAATCGGAGACTGCTTCAGGCTTTAAATAATGGCACCAAGAATTTAACTCCCCCGGAGTAAGCCATCTCAAGGTAATTGCAGAAGCATCAATTTGACTTCAAATGGCTCGTTTGGTTTATAGTCTTGTAGATGTATCAGAAAATGCATATTTATTTATGTGTGTGATGTTTGACTAACTTATTATTTCTATACTCTTTTCATTGTAATTTCCAGGCAGCAAAGACACAGTGCATCAGTACTGTATTAGCTGTGGGGGTTGGAAGCAGAGTTACCACCATCAGCTATTTCGTTGCCTGTTTAAGACAAACTTCGTGCAGTTGCTTTGTTCATGACTTGGATTTTTTTTCTTTTATTTGGCCAAACATGAATTGAATATTTTAGGACAGTGATATAAGAATAGTCTTTTTATACTAGTTTTTTATATAATTTTTATATGTTATTAAATAAGTGAATATATTTAATATCACATGTTCCAAATAAATAAAAAGAGTTAATTATTTTAATGACATATAAAATTGTACCAAAAGATTTTTCTTTATATATATATATATATTTGATTATGAATTATATAAAAGGAATTATTCATTCATATTCTCAAATCCTTTTCCATCCGACTCAAGGCTCAAATTTGATATCTCTAATTTAAAGTCTCAAACTTTTAACTGTTGAGTCACCTCATTGAGGTTAAATTGTATCAAAAGATTGTATAAAAATTTTATCCCTAAATCATTTTTCGATATTTTAACTGTTGTTTCTTATTTGCTTATAATTATGGACCCATTATATATGATGGTTTGAACTGCAAATCTATGTTTAATTAATAGATATGATGTGTGGGTTGTTTGGAATATATAAGAGAAGCTATAGCTCATTTCTTAATTTTTCACTAACTTAAAATTTAAATTTAAAATTAAGAGTCTCACTCCCAAACTGTTATCTAAATCTATACACCTATTTTTTTAACATAAGTAATTGTGTGGGAAGAGAGGCAAATGGGATAAGACTGGGGGGTTTGAACCCCACACTCAAAGGTGTCATCAACTGAGTAAGGGGACGATTTTGTCACTTGCTCTCATTTTTTTGAGAGGGTCACTTGCTCTGATTAGGGGTCGGTGTTAAGATACCTCTTGGAGCTAAAAGTTTTTAGGTTAAAATATTAATTTGGTCCTCCAACTTTTAGATTTATACTAAAATTATTTCTCAACTTTAAAAAGTATCAAAATTGTACCTAAATTCTAATTTTTTGTATCAAAATAGTCTTCAAACTTTGAAGATAATATTAATTTAATCCTTAAACTTCGAAAACAAGTATCAAATTAGTTCTTAAACTTTAATTATAAATATTAATTTAGTTTTTCAACTTTAATTATATATCAATTTGATATGTAAATAGAAATATATCATAATCATAAAATATGACTTTTTGATTTTATATGTCATTAGTATTTTTTTTAAAAATTGATTTTATGATAAAATAATGAGTTACATAATATTTCTATTAAAGGAATGACTTTTTTATATTAAAAATTAAAGTTTATGGATAATTTTAATATTTTTTGAAATTGAGGAACAATTGCAGTAAAATTTAAAAGTTGAAAGATCGAATTGATATTTTAACCAGGTTTGTATATATATATATATATATATATAGAAATTGTATTAAACAAATAAAATTAAAATTATATATGAATCTTTATATCATGCAAGTATGGTTAAAGTAAAAGTATATCCTATAATACTAAATACCCATTTATACTATGCTTATAGTGAATATAGATAATTAAATATAAAAAATTATTTACAATTAAAAATTACATTAATAATTTCCTCAAAAAAAATTACATTAATAATTGCTAAAAGGGCATAAATCAATGTTTTTGGACCTAGCCCGGCCCGGT